TTAACAAAGTTTAGACACACACACACACACACACACACACACACACACACACACACACACACACACACACACACACACACACACACACACACACACACACACACACAAGCCAAGATCAAGCTCAACTCAGTTTCTCCTCTTTTCTCTCCCCTCTCTCTTCCCTCTCTCTTCCCTCTCTCTTCCCTCTCTTGCTCTCCAGGCGTCTGAGGAGGTGTCGAAGTGTCTGGTGTCCATGAAGGAGATCCNACACACAAGCCAAGATCAAGCTCAACTCAGTTTCTCCTCTTTTCTCTCTTCCCTCTCTCTTCCCTCTCTTGCTCTCCAGGCGTCTGAGGAGGTGTCGAAGTGTCTGGTGTCCATGAAGGAGATCCTGTACGGCAGCAACGATAAGGAGCCTCACACGGAGACGGTGGCCCAGCTGGCCCAGGAGCTGTACAACAGCGGGCTGCTGCTGTCGCTGGTGAAGAACCTGCAGGTCATCGACTTCGAGGTGAGAGTCTGCCCTCCATCATCCTCTTTGAATCTTTTGAAACCAGGGTTTCGTGAGAATTTCTTATATTTGTGTGTGTGTGTGTGTGTGTGATTCTAGGGCAAGAAGGATGTGTGTCAGATCTTCAACAACATCCTGAGGAGGCAGATCGGGACGAGGAGTCCCACCGTGGAATATTTCTGTTCCCACCCGGAGGTGCTCTTCATCCTGCTGAATGGGTGAGACACACACACACACACACACACACACACACACACACACACACACACACACACACACACACACACACACACACACACACACACAGATACAGGCTTTACCTACATAACGGTCCTGTAAGAGGAGACTTAAACAGCCTCTCTGAATTTGTAAAAGTTACGAGACGCCCCAGTCAGCGTTGAATTGCGGGATCATGCTGAGGGAGTGCATTCGCCACGAGCCGCTCGCCAAGATCATCCTGCACTCCAGTGATTTCTACAAATTCTTCCTTTACGTGGAGATGTCCACCTTCGACATCGCCTCCGACGCCTTCGCCACCTTCAAGGTACTAACGCTGTGTATCAGAAGATGTTATTATTTCATATTTTTGTTGCACTGTTACAGAAGAGGGTGAACGTTTTCCACCTTTCTCCACAGGATCTCCTGACAAGACACAAAGTGCTTGTGTCCGAATACCTGGAGCAGAACTACGAAGCTGTGAGTGATTAGTCTGGTAAACACATGTGAAACCCACAGCACATGTTAATGCAAGTCGGCCATGTTATTTTGAACCAGCATTTATTTACATTTATTTATTTTTATTTACCACCATCATTCCTGACCACATGCATGCAAGGCTCCCACGAAACATCAGCCACACACACACACACACACACACACACACACACACACACACACACACACACACACACACACACACACACACACACACACACACACACACACACACACCCAGATCAGGTTATAGCCTCTCAATGGCCTCAGTCACTGATCCAAAATAAAAAGATACAAATAAAGTTTATACGAATACACTTCTAGGAAAGAGGGATCAGTTGAAAGCCCTTGCAGTGTCACAGCTTGATACAAAGCTCGGCTCTGTGCTGGCAGAGGGGCCCTGAGTGCTGAATGAAGGGCCCCTCTGCCAGCATAGAGCCTAGGGTCTCAGGCTGAAGGAGCCCCCCACAAAACTGCCTTGCATGTTGACAGATGTCGCAGTGAAGCCTGTTGGGAGAGGATGCTTTGAGCTCAATAGAGTCCAGGAGCCAAATGACAGAACTTTGATTCGATGTATGTGGCATCCCCAGCTACAAGCCTTAAGTCTCAAATCAAACTATTAATAGTTAAATCCACCAGTGTGTTAATAAAGTATTATAATAAATGTTGTTAATGTAATTGCAGGTGTTTACAGACTACGAGAAGCTGCTGCACTCGGAGAACTACGTCACCAAGCGGCAGTCTCTAAAGGTTTGACTCCATTTCAAATTGTAGGGCGATGTATACGATATCTATAACGGGGCCATTAAACCCTCACACTATCTCCCTTACCCATCGCTATGATCTTCTCTCAGCTGCTGGGCGAGCTGCTGCTGGACAGACATAACTTCACGGTGATGACGCGCTACATCAGCAAGCCGGAGAACCTGAAGCTGATGATGAACCTGCTGCGAGACAAGAGCCCCAACATCCAGTTTGAAGCCTTCCACGTCTTCAAGGTACAACACCACCCTTCTATTATTAAATATCCAATAACAAGTGTGTAGCTGTACAGTTACTGTTTTACGTACTAAAACCCAGACACAGTTTGTCTCTGTGTGTTAAATGTTTTCTTCCTGTCTTCTTCAGGTTTTCGTAGCGAACCCCAACAAGACGCAGCCCATCATCGACATCCTGCTCAAGAACCAGACCAAACTAATCGACTTCCTGAGCAACTTCCAGAAGGATCGCACGGACGACGAGCAGTTCAACGACGAGAAGACCTACCTAATCAAACAGATCCGGGATCTGAAGAAGCCGGCCTCCTAGAGAAGCCCCTCAACCCCAACTTTTTACCGATAGGATTAAAAAAAAAAAAACACACACATTAACAATAACGGTTACTCTATTTCAAAGAAAATCTTCTCTTTGTTGGTTCATTTGAAACACTAGTTCTCAATCACTGATCTTTCTTTTTGTAAATGTTTCTCATGAGATCTTTGTTTGTTTGTTTTCCATCTGTAGCATGTCGTGCCACAACTCATGGTGTTGAAGGCATTCGCTCTGCTGGGAGAACCAGCCCTTAAAAATCCTTTTTGTAATGCGAACAGTCACCAGAGGCAGTCTCTACACATGGATTGATTTTGAACTGTTTAAGTGAAGTAGCTGCAAATCAAAAATAACTATAATAATGAAGAATTCCTGCTTTTGTTTTTTCAGCTGGGTCGGCATGTGCAAAAACATATTCTCAGTCATCGCTCAGCGCTTCGTTAGCCAATTAGCAACATTTAGCTGCTAGACGTCCTTCTTATTGTAAAGCCAAACAACCGTGAAGTCCACTGAGACAAATATTACATTTGTGATATTAGGCCGTATAAATAAACATTGATTAATAGTGCCAATTAAACATGGGACAGGATTAAGTAGACCTTTGAGATTAAGAGTGTGCTACAAGATAAATACATCGGACTATGATCTAAGGGATGCTTTTTAATCATCTGTAATGGGATGACCAATCACAACAGAGAAACAACCTGGAAATCAGCATAATAGGGCCTCTTTGAAGCTCTCCAAAACCACATATATTTGGCAATATCGAGACTGAGAATAGACGGGTACAGCTTCCTTTTGATCACTGGTTCTCTTCGCTGGTGGCTGATCGCACTTTCTGTATGATACATAATATGTTAATCTTAAGCTGATCACTGCTTGAGGGTTCATTTTTTTATATATAGTTTCATTTCTTGTCATGTACAGTGTATGGTTTGTACACCTGCCATTGTGAGTGGGAACGTTGTTTTGATTTGGATCTGACGTTGGTGTTAGAAACCAGCGAGAGGATCCAGAGGTGCCTTTTTGGTTTGGTGTGTTCTTCTTTTTGTATTTCCACTATCTTTCTAGGGGAGCTTAATTGTTATGTTAATGAGAATATGCTCTGGACAGAACATATTTGTTGTGATTAAGCAGTGAACCTCTCAACTCACTATACTTGAGTTACGCTGTCATAGAAACGTTTTGAACTTTTTCAAGCTGATGCCATCGTGTACAGACCAGGGGCTTTACGGTTTCCGTTGATTTAATGTTCAAATTACAAACTGTTGGTGAAGAAATCATCGGGGAAGTTATCGCAGAGTGAGGCCAAAGTTTGAACTGAGAAATGTAACTGTGAAAAATCCACATGTAGTAAAAAAAAAAAGCCTTAAAATGCGGTTGTTTTTATATTTGAATAATAATGAAAATTGACATTGGCACTTCAATTATAGGAAATGTTTGAATGTATTCTCCAATTGATATTCAATCTTCATCCACAGGAGTCTCTTTGATCAGGACACTCACTAATTGAATCACTAAAATATGTCATTGAGTCCGAATGGAGGACAGTATCAGTCTTGAATCTGGAAATCAGGACAAATAATTCAGCCTTTTTTGTCATCTGGGTTTAAAATAAAAAACAGTCCCAGCCCCTTTTTAGTGCTTCAAGCTGTGACATATCGTACTAAGATGCAAAAGTAGACCAACCAGTTTAACTTGAGCCAAACTCACCCACGTTTTTTATTTCTCCAACAAAAGAGCAATTAGCAACTCCACATTATCCTTTCTCTCAAGGCCGCCTCCTTATCTTCCACATTGATGCTATTGTACCACATTCACAACAAATAAAAGGATGGGAATGCATGCTCTGTGTGCGGGTGCTCATTTGTTGTCAACTGTAGTGCAATGGAAATGTATTTATAATTGATCTCAAGCTTTAAATGATTGATAACTGTATTCTAAAGAAACATTGGATTATTGTAGTGATATTTTGCTGACAGAGAGAAAAAGAAGTGGAATACATTACAAAAACTTTCTTACTTTCTTCAAGCTGCTTCCATAGATTAGTAATATGATTTTAGGCTGCAACATGGTCACAGCAGCAGCCCTTCAGTCCCCATTGCATACTTAAACACAAACAGTATGGATGTCTTTATGTGCAACAATTTAAACTATTCAACTCTTGTATACAAAAATAAAATGACATCACAGCGTCGCTATAAAACTATTTAAAATATATCATTTGTTAGTGGTTTCCCTTCTTCTCCCACCCATCCATTCATGGTCTCCCTTAGAGGTGCTCATGTTTCTTCTTCAATTGAATCCTTAAAACACACAAGACTGTCCTCCCCTCACAGCACCTCCTATTAAAAGCAGCCTCTTATTGAAATATAAAGTTTTACAGTCACTTTTAACCATTTTTTGTACAGATTACTGTTGTTGACACGTAAACATGCAGCAGGGAGAGATGTTGATATTCTGATTCCACAACATACAGACACACCAGTTCCTCCTTAAAACAGCAAATAAATACAAATATAGTGCAGCACAGATTTGATCTACAGATGTGTCCCAGTCCTAGCCTTAAAATGCCAAATCTGTGCCTAAAAAACAACGTTCTTTCTGGTTTAACCATGTGTCCGTGTGGTGTTCAGCTGACGGGTGACATGTTGGATCTGTGGGTGCACAGCTTCTTGTTGCTGTGGCTCTCCTGCTCCTCCGGCCTGCCGTGCTTCGCCCCGAAACCGTCTGGAACAAAGAGAAATACTGTCATAATAGGATTTCTCTTTAGTGTGTGGACGTCACTAAGCGGTTGACCAATCACAACAGAGCTGGCCAGCTAACCAATCAGAGCAGACTGTGATCTCATTTCAGGAAACTGGTGAAAAGAGGTGCTGCAGCACAGGCAGTATGAGAACATTAGAGCATGGAGACATGTCACAGGAGAGGCAGGAAATACTAATATGAACCTGAACATGTGCTCTTTAAAGGTGTAAAGATAATGTGGAACTTACTGGTGTGGTGAGAAGAGGCTGAAGGGCTCCTCTGCCACTGGGAAGACAGAAGAAAGTTACATTCTCCTCCATTTATCAAGACATCCACCTCCGTCCCCCTAAGAAGTACTCACTATGAACTTGCTGATGTTCTTCAGGCTGCTGAACGTCAGGTAGGAGATCTCTCCCTTGTCCTTGTCCCTGTCCTGGTCGCTGGTGTAGATGTGTGTGATGCCGGCTCCTCGGATCAGAGGCACACACTCATCACACGGACACTTAGTGACAAACAGCATGGTGTGCTCCTCTGGTTTGATGTGTCGGGTCCTGAAAGCATCAGCAAACACAGATTATGGGAGGAGGCTCCAGCGTGTTAGGACCAGATCTTTCTCCTCTCTGCTGACCTGAAGGTGAGTGCGTTCTGCTCGGCGTGGACGATGTATCTGTACTTGCGTCTCTGTCTGTCCTTCTGCTTGTTGTCCATCTGGGGGTATTCTGCATACTGTGAGCCTGCTGGGTAGGCGTTGTACCCGCAACCCACCAGGTACAGACACCCAGTCCCATCACTGCCAGCCTGCGACAAGGGAGCAGTTGCAAATGTAATAATAATAATAATAAGGGATGAACTAATAGCCAAATCTCATCAAATGGAAGACATGTGAGCTCACCGATGCTCCTTTGGCCCAGATGACAGCTCCAACACCCACTTTAGGATCCTCTGGAATGAAAATGACAGATTTGCGTATAATGAGCTGGTGACAAAATGACATGAACACTGTTTCAAATAACTGTGACCTTAAAGCCTGTCCTTCAGGAGAATTAGAGTAGAAATTCCCTCAGAGAAATCTTATGGTGACCTAGATAGGATAAGTGTACCGTACTGGTGTGCCAAATTTCCCTTAAGTCAATGTTTCTGTAAACCGCTCCACTCCACCCAATGCAGCTTGGCTTTCGTGCTCACCACTCCACTGAGACGGCTAACTGTGTCTTTGTGGAAAAGGTGAAATGTGTGTTGGACACGAGCCCATATGTAGGTGCTGTCTTCCTTGGTCTCAGGAAGGCTTTTGACACTGTTGACCACCAAGTGCTCTTTACAAAGCTGACGTATTTCAATTTTTCGGCAGATTCAATACAGTGGGTCGAGTCTTACTTATCGAACAGAAAACAGTGTGTTTTGGTCAACGGAGCCAAATCCCCCTACCTTGTGAACCCTGTTGGGGTTCCACAAGGTTCCATTCTTGGACCATTACTGTTTTCTCTGTACATTAATGACTAATGTATGTCCTGAGTTGAATGTGCAAATGTATGCGGTCATCTTTGTACACGGGAAAAATACTGAAATAATCACATCCTGTCTCTCAAACGCTTTGGACAAGGTTCAACACTGGCTGAACAACATTTGCTTACAGTTAAATGTAAAAAAAAACAGTATGTATGATGTTCAGTAAACGACCAGTCAACATCGAAGGATCCAATGTGTTTTTAAACGGAGCAGAAATAGAAGTAGTCTCCCACTTCAAGTATCTTGGAGTCATACTGGACTCGAACTTGAGTTTTAAGAAACATATTAAGAAAGTATCCAATACCGTTAAATTCAACTTGCAACATTTTAAACAAATTAGACCTTTCTCTGTCAGTGCTGCAAAGTCATTCCTCCACTGCATGATTCTATCCCACATTGAATACTGAATGGTCGTTTGCTTGTGCCACAAACCTGAAACCCATAGAACAGCTGTACAAGAGAGAGGTGTTTGACAGAAAGCCATATTCACACCACCACTGTACCATCCTTGAAAAACACAATTTCTTGAGTTTGACCATTTTAAGTCTTTTAAAAGTATGTGTTTTTTTNTCATCCACAGAAAACACACTGGATGCTGCACTAGGTCAGGAACCAGAGGAGACTGTGAGGTCTACTGCAGAAGGACCACTTTTGGACAAAATGTCCTTTCCATTAAAGGCAGCTCTTTGTGGAATAGCCTCCCAACTGAGATACGGGATTGTCCCACTCTCAATGGTTTTAAAGGTCAACTCAGAGAATGGCTGAGAAACAAACAGACGTGCAATCACCGCTAAATGCACTTTAACACAGGGGTATCTCCTCTTGCACTTTAGATAGCTCTTGTATTTCCTCTTGCACTTTATATGTCGTTGCTGCTACATTGTATTACCATGTCATAAATACTTGTGTATGCTGCTCTTGCTCTCTTGCACTTTTTGCATATCATGTATTTTGTTTTTTGTCCCTTCCAAATAAACGATTAAATAAATCAATAAAAACCAGACAGACCTGTTCTATAAGCCAGCAGCCTGGCCTGGATGATACAATGGCGCACCACTTCTTGAGACAGTCCCTCGTGAGGAGTCTGCAGCGAGGCTACTGATGGCCCAGGGGCTAAATGCTGTTCTCTGCAACAGGAACAACAACATCAACAACCAATAGCAGCAGTGGATGGCAAACATGTGAAGAACTGTGGATGTTTCTGACCTGTAGAAGCCGTAGTGTTGCTGTGGCAGCCCGGCAGCCACTGCAGCTAACACCTCCACCAGCTCCGTCATGTTGCTCCTCAGGTTGGAGAAGTGAGGCTCCACGCAGAAGTCCTCCAGCCCCATGTGGGTTAAAATCTCCCGGTGCTGCAGGGACGTCCTCACCAGGAGCTGAGAGGAGAAATCCTTCAGGTGTCTCGTCCGCTCGCTGGAAAACAGGAAGAATGCATCCTTTTATAAGCAAACCAGGTGCTTTTTATAACATAAACCTTAAAGGAAGGCTTGTTACCTGTTGAAGAGTTCCTCTGTGTTCAGCCCCGGATCATCGTCCTTCATCCTCTCCATGAAATCACAGTCTCTGGACGTCTCGTAGACAAACTGGGCCAGGCCGGGCGCTGGAGGCTGCAGCAGGACGCAGATGTGAGGACGGCTGTTGGACTTCAGCTTCTCCGCTGCGACGGCATCCAGCGCCGCCTCCTCAGGGATGCTGCGAGGAGGATTCTGGGAGCTGGAGGTGTTTGCAGAGCTGGACCTCAGCATGCTGACTTCAGGGTCTCCGGGCCAGAAGGAGATCTGACTGACTCCAGCTGCAGAGGAGAGTGTGATTACAATATACTGAAATGAACAACAGTGTGAAAGCACTTGGAAAACTGCTGGTTTGTTTCCCTTCCCTCAGGCATCATAATGTCATGCTCAATTTATTGGAGCTATGACTAATCCCCATGTCGGGAAACCCTTCCCAAAAGCAGAATGCAACTTGATTAACTAAGCAACTAGGCTTGGGTTTAATTCCCCAACCTCTCTGTGTCTGACCACTAATCTCTGTCTCTGTCCTCACCGTTGATGATCATCTTGAGGCAGGTGGCGCAGGGTCTCCTGGAGAAATACAGGTGGCAGTCAGCCAGGGAGGCGCCATGCTGGATGATGGCTGCCTGTCCTGCATGGAGCTCAGGTCCTGAGCAGTGGAGTCCCACCACCTTACTGTCCTGCACCACCACCAGACCCACCCTGCGGATCTGAATCACAACAGGTCTGATTACTTAACTATAACTCACTAATCTGGAGATTTGAACATTGGTTACTTCATCGTGCGTGGTCTATCTCATTGGTACACTCACCTCACTGGGTTCATCCTCTTCAGGCTGCTGCTGTGGAAACAGCTCCATCCACAGACTCAGCAAGGTAAACAGGTTTACCTTTGATAGCCTGGGGCCATGGCCTGATGCAGGGGGAGACAAAAGAAGGGTTATCTTGTCTATTCTTAAATGCACAAGTGCCTTCATGCAAAGGTCTAATTACACTGGGTGGTAAGTCGAATGTGAAGGAGAGCAGGGGTTGATGTTTTGAATGTCTCAGGTTGCTTCCACACCTTACAGTAAAATGAAGTGAAGGCAGCAAAGGCAGGTCCTATCACATGCATCTACTTATCATAAATGTACATGAATACTACATGCTATTAGTAGCTGACAGCATATAAAGACACTATATGGACACTGGAGCAGAATGCCTGTAAATAAGGGCTTATGCAATATCATATATAAATAATATCGATCTTGATATATAATAATAATAATAGAGAATCAAAAATGTATTTCAAATAAACTCCACTTTACAAGCATTGGACTCCCTGATCCAGACTTCACTTAAACGGAGCTATCATGCAATTAATTAAGGATATGATCTTTGACCCCAAGTCAGTAGGTGATCACAGCCCAGTCCTAATCAAGAGGGAGGGAGTTGAGCAGGTTACAGGTTTTAAATATTTAGGGATTTATTTTGATGCTCAGTTAGGCTGGGCCCGTCAGGTGGATCAGGCATGCTCAAAGATAAGCCAGCGCCTGCATCTTCTGCGTAGGCTCAGGGTTCATGGAGTGGATACATGTATCATGTTAATGTTCTACAGGGCAGCAATTAAGTCTATTATCCGTTATGGCATCACAACATGGTTTGGTAACTTGTCAGTTAAATCTAAATCACAACTCCAGAGCTTCAAATCAAAATCAAATCAATTTCTATTTATAAAGCAAATTTAAAAGCGATTTTTGGTCGAGCCAAAGTGCTGTACAGTACATGTAATAAAAACACATTACTACAATCACAATAAAAGACAATAAATTACAACAGATATAAAAAAACAAAGGGAAAAGTCAGGAGTCGTGCTCCGC